AAATACAATGTAACACATATAATTATAACAATTGAGAGGTATTTATAACAACTTTTTTTTTAAATGATAAAAGCCCAGAGACACAGCTTTTTGAGTGTAGTATTCTATCTTGTTAACTTTGTAACATTAACTGTTTTAACCCCAAAATCCACTACAAATCTAGTAATGATAACAATTATATAAAGTGGGTTCATCTCGCTGAACTCAACAAAAATGTTGGCAAGATATCATCCACTTACAACACAGCATTTAACATATGTAGTAGATGTAAGTTACAACGTGAGCTGTAATCAATAGCTGTTACATTTGTTAACAAATGTCACTTCCCTAAACACATTGTCACTAGAACCTTAGCCAAGCATTAAAAAAATTCAATAGCAGAAAAACAAAAAGAAAGGGAAAACACCATAGACTCCAAGAAGGAAACCAAATACAGAAACTCAGACACACTAATAGGAGTCTTACCATACCATACCAAACATTTGGAAATAAGCATCAAAAAATACATAAAATAAACAGCAAAGTTACTTTCATTCAATAACCGAGCACTAAAGTCAAGATCTCCCAAGGAGGGTTTATTCTGACAACTTCAATAACGGAGGCACCTACAAATATCAATACGATCGATGCAACAGCACCTACTATAGGCGAAACGGGACGCAAAATAAATTTTACGATGAAAGAACATGATAGTCCCGAATCATACATTAACGAATACAGCATAACGAACCAATATCCAATCAATATTAGCTACTTTAAAATATTATGTTATGAGAACAACATTAACAGAAGAAAAATTATTTATTATTGTTTTTGTTTTTTTTTGTAATTAAGCACAAAGCTACACAATGGGCTATCTGTGCTCTGCCCACCACGGGTATCGAAACCCGGATTCTAGCGCTGTAAGTCCGCAGACATACCGCTGTGCCACTGGAGGGCCAGAAGAAAAAATAAAAGAAGAGTTAATTATTCATGAACTAAAGCCTAATTTAAATTAAAACACAGGTGTCGCCCTGTACGTTTTCTAAATTGGAACAAAATGCTCGCGCAACTTGCTAGTATTTCGTACACTTTACTTGATGATGACCACACGAGTGAGTGGTCGAAACGTTGTTATAAAGTTAAAAAAATAATAATAAATTGAAGAATCAATGTCTGTGGACTTTATATAAAGTATACACTGGAATTCCGCTCCTTAGAACGAGTTTTTCTAACGATGTTCAGTACGGTAATAACGCTGTCATCGTGGTTGGTACTTGGTCGTGTTGTGCGTGACAACGCTGTCATCGTGGTTGGTATTTGGTCGTGTTGTGCGTGACAACGCTGTCATCGTGGTTGGTATTTGGTCGTGTTGTGCGTGACAACGCTGTCATCGTGGTTGGTATTTGGTCGTGTTGTGCGTGACCTGGGAGGGTCAGGTGCTATTTAAACCTCCTCCTCCTTTACGGTTTTAGATGTTTACTCTCTAATGCTATATTGATATTAAGAGATTAGAGCACAAATACTGTATAAACTAACCCATTTTCAGGACCATGAATATTATACTATGGCGTTTAGTGCTAATTTGCTGATTAGAGCACAAATACTTTATAAACTAACCGATTTTCAGGACCATGAATATTATACTATGGCGTTTAGTGCTAATTTGCTGATTAGAGCACAAATACTTTATAAACTAACCGATTTTCAGGACCATGAATATTATACTATGGCGTTTAGTGCTAATTTGCTGCTTCTCTTCATTTGGTCGTTATACACTCGCAATCAGTTCCACTGACGAATGATCACTTTTTCATCTGATCACATACCTTTTTTAAATACACTTTTTATTATTTAATCTAAGCAATATTTTCATTGTCTAGTGTGGGTGTACTTTTTCTTATACTGAGTGGTGAGAGATACATCATCATCATGTATGATATAATGGTTTATGATCATTATCATGTATGATGTAACGATCTATGATGATCATCATGTATCATATAACGGTTTATTATCATTATCATGTATGATGTAACGATCTATGATCATCATCATGTGTGATATAACGGTCTATGATCATCATCACGTATGATATAACAGTCTGCGATCATCATCATGTATGATATAACGGTCTATGATCATCATCATGCATGATATAACGATCTATGATCATCATCACGTATAGTATAACGGTTTATTATCATCATAATGTATGATATAACGGTTTATGATCATTATCATGTATGATATAACGATCTATGATGATCATCATGTATGATATAACGATCTATGATCATCATCACGTATAGTATAACGGTTTATTATCATCATAATATATGATATAACGGTTTATGATCATTATCATGTATGATATAACGATCTATGATGATCATCATGTATGATATA